AAGACTGAAGGGTCTGGGGTTTGATTCCCAGTCCAGGGCATGTACATGGGTTGCAGGTTTGATTCGTGGCTCTGGAGTCCAGGTCCTGCTGGGAGGCAACCAATCCAACCAATTGATGTCTCTCTCATTACATCAATGTTTCTCCCTCTCTCTCTGCCCCTTTCCCCCATCTAAAAATCAATGGAAAAATATCCTTGGGTGAGGATTAACAACAACAAAATTTAAAGATAGTTAATTTTCCTTTTTATCTGATGACAGTTCTTTGCTGACTTGGGGAGTTGTAGACTTGGCTCCCCGTGGATCCCTCTTTCTTTGCCTGTGAGACCCTTATAGGGATGCCCTGAAGCAAACACATTGTTTTAATTGTAGTCTCCACAGATACTGGGTTGTGGCAAAATATGCTGTGGGAAAAGTAAAGAGTAATAATTATAAAACAAAAACCAGTCCACATAAGAACCTTCTGGGCTGGGTGTGGCAGTGAAATGAGAGAGCAAAGAGGAATTACTCTCCTAAGGCTGGCTGCTTCCATGGATCTGATACTGTTTCTTTTTTTATCCTCACCCGAGGACATTTTTCCATTTTTTGCTCAGGTAGATTGGGAGGGAGGGAGGGAGAGAGAGAGAGAAAGAAAGAAACCGATGTGAAAGGGATACATCAAGTGGCTGCCACCCGCACGACCAACCAGGGCCGGGGACAACCAAGGTACGTGCCCTTAGCGGGAACCGAACCCGGGTCTCTCTGGAACACAGGCCAACGCTCTAACTGCTGAGCCAAATCAGCCAGGGCGATACTGTTTCTTTGTAACAAGTGAAATCTAATATATCTGGCTTTTGTTGGTATTGTTTGTTTACTTATATAAGGTGTGCAAAAGACTCAGAAATAATGTAAACCATATTGTTTGACCCACTAAGTTTATAGAACCATTTCCACATTGAGTGGTATGTCCATTGTCCATGGTGTTAACGTACTTGCATAGTTGCTGTGTTCTGGACCTCTCCATAATACTAGATTTAGAGATTAATTATTTTAATTACATTTTTGTTAATTTTCTTTGTTAAGTGCAATAAAGGGAAAAGTGAATTGGGAATAAATATTCTGGAATTGTACATATTTACTATTTTCAGAGAAATTTTATATCACAAGACTATAAAATTAGTTTTATATATTTTTTTGAAAAATGCTACATGTAACTTGGAAATAATCAACCGAAATAAAAAATGAACAGCACAGGGTCTGTTGAGCACAGGATGAGTGTACAGTGGTGAATCTTTTTTTTTTTTTTTTTTATCCTCACCCGAGGACATTTTGTTCAGATAGAGTGAGAGGAAGAGAGGGAGAGAAACAATGACGTGAAAGGGACACATTGAGTGGCTGCCTCCCGTATGACCCCAACCGAGGCCGGGGACAAACTGCAGCCTAGGTACGTGCCCTTAGCGGGAACCGAACCTGGGTCTCGCCTCAGGCCAACTGCTGAGCCAAACTGGCTAGGGCCAGTGGTGAATCTTTTAAGTTCAAAAAGATGAGTTTTTCAGATTAGTATTTTAAAATGTAAGTTGGGGTTCTAATAAAATATGGTGACTTAATGAAGTATAATTAACTCAATGAAGATTTGAAAAGTTATGCAAGATTTTAATGAAGTAGTACTGAAATTTATTTGATCATTTTGATTAGACCTATGATTTGTTTTGTTTATTATTCAGGGATATGACTCACTGAAATGAAATTTGATGTGTTGTTAATACTAGAAGAAGATGCCTGGCCAGTGTGGCTCAGTGGATTGAGCATCATCCCATGGACTGAGAGGTCCCAGTTCAATTCAGGGCCCATGCCGGGGTTTCAGGCTTGATCTCCAGTAGGGGGCGTGCAGGAAGCAGCTGATCAGTGTTTCTGTCTCACATTGATGTTTCTCTCTCCCTAAAAAATTTTTTTTTTTTTTATCCTCCCTCAAGGACACTTTTCCATTTTTTGTTCAGATAGAGTGGGAGGGAGAGAGAGAGAGAGAGAAACATCGATGTGAAAGGGACACATCAAGTGGCTGCCACCTGCACGACCAACCAGGGCCAGGGACAAACTGCAACTGAGGTATGTGCCCTTAGCGGGAACTGAACCCAGGTCTCTCCGGACCACAGGCCAACGTTCTAACCGCTGAGCCAAACCGGCCAGGGCTCCCTAAAAAATTCAATAAAAACATATTACAAGAGTACTAGAAGATAATAGTGGATGATTCTGACTTATCCATGGAAAAGAAGAAAATATATTTTTATAAATCCTATATATGATAAGGGAAAATTATACTAAATTTTTTTGGTGTGTCATGTTCTTAATAATTCAGTTTGCGTGTTTTTCTTGACATGAGAATGATTTTCTCTGCAGAGCTTTTTAACTATGGCTATATTGTGTTCAGCAGAGAGTTTGCTGAATTGATTTTGAGCTTATTTCCTTAAACAGAATATATAATTTTGTAGATGTATCTGATTGTTCAATAATTAATCCACCTAATCGTATTACCTCAGACTTTTACACCATATACACCGACACACCTATTGCAATGAAAATGGATTATCAAAAAATCAGCCATCTTGCATATGTGTTTTGCCTTTCAGGAGTTGAAGGATAAAGTACCTTGCCTTTGAGCAGTGCAAGGAAAAAGGCATGTTACTGAACATTTATTTATTTATTTTTTTGGTGGTATGTGCCCCTAGCGGGAACCGAACCCAGGACTCTGTGGTCCGCAGGCCGATGCTCAACCGCTGAGTCAAACTGGCCAGGGCTGTTTTTTTTTTTTAAAGACCTCAAAACAGGAGTTGCTTAGGAATGGTAAGTAATCGTGTAGTGCTAAGAAGCAGGGCTGTCTGAAAAAGAACCAGATTTGTATCTTAGCTGCATCCTTTATCAACTCAGTGAACTTACACAAATTATTTTGCTTTTTTTGAACCTTAATTTCTCCATCTGTAAATGGACTTTAGTAGTATTTATTTCACTTAAGCAAAATGAAGTAATATGTCAGTATACTTGGTATATAGTATATCTTCAGATAAATTAGTCAACTGGTATTTGATATTTTGACATTGTTTAGATCACCTAACCTTATTTAAAGATAAAAATTTGGGCTACTTGTCTTGAATGTGTAATGCCTCCAGGAAAATTTAAGTCCTATAGAAGGCTGACTCCAATTCAAGTTTGATTTCTCTTTGAAATCGTTAACAGTGTCCTTTTTGAACACCTAAAGGAAGTGGTGCCTCCTGGGATACTGAAGGGACTCAAAGCTAGAGGCGTGAATATTTCCTTTATAAATGGAGTTATCCCCCCCCTTGGAAATTTACCAGATAATTATGATGGGATTTCAGCAGGATGTTTGACAAAGTCTTAAGATGTTTCTCTGGATCACAAAGAATTTTATTGAAGGTTATTGATCGATTAACTGGAAGAGGACAGCCCCTGGAGCTTTGCCCAGCCCTCCCTCTTCTTTTGCTAGTGACCTAGATGGAAATGCTGATGATATTTTCAAATGCAGGATTCAGAGAGAGAAAATCTGTAGGGTGTCAGAATCTAGACTGAAAAAAATCTAGACAAGCAAGAGTGTGATAAGATAAAATTCATTTGCAAATATATGAGGGCTCATGCTTGGGCCTTTGAATGTACTGGTGGCAGCTTAGTGGGATCAAGTTTGAAAAAGAAGTAGGGATTTTAGAGAGTTATTCTCATGTAACAGTCAAAACATTTAGGGGGCCAGTGCAATTTCAGGCTGCATTAATTGAAATTTGTTAGCTAAGATGTGGGAACTGAGACCCCTGTGTGTTCTCATCTTAGCTCATTTTAAAGATTTTTTAATTTATTTTTAGAGAGAGGAAGAAAGGAGAGAGAGAAACATCATTGATCGACTGCCTCCCTTACGCACCCCAGTGGAGGATTGAACCCTCGATCGACCCTGGCATGTGCCCTTACCGGGAATCAAACCTGCAACCTTTCAGTGCATGGGGAGAACACCCAGCCAACTGAGACACACCAACCAGGGCCTCAGCTCTTTTAAATAGCATGTCCTACAAACTGGGGCACATGTATAGAGAGCATCTGAGTGTTTATTCTGGAAAAGACATACTTGTATGCACATGTCAGCTGCCCTTAAGTATTCGAGGAGCACTTACTCCAGGAGGGGTGCAGGGGGAGGGATGGTGGTGGTGGTGCTGGCGGCAGATTATCTTAAGGGGTAGGATTAAGACCAATAGGTGAAAGTAAAGTGACATGGTCAAAATCTTATAAAGTCTTAAAGCATTTTTGTCTTTAAAGAACTTAGTCAAGAGGAAGTAGTTCTCTATCACTAGATAGGAGATAACTGTGGAGGGGTTTCAAACTGATGTGATGGGTTATTATATATTTATTCAGTGGTTACTAATATTTATCTGTTGGATAAGTGTATTGGGTGAACCAGCTTCTTCAAAACCAGAAATTCTGATATTGGTATGTAAATGTGTGACTTTGAACACGAACAAAAGATTTGTTTTTATTTTTTTATATGTTTTTATTGATTTTTTTTTTTTAAGAGAGAAAGTAAGAGATAGAAACATCAATGTGAGAAACATGGATCAGCTGCCTCCTGCATGCCCCCTACTGGGGATCGAGCCTGAAACCTGGGCATGTGCCTTGACTGGGAATTGAACCCGGACCTCTCAGTCCATGGGATGACGCTAAATCCACTGAGCCACACCGGCTGGGTGTGAATGAACTATTTCTAATGATTGCTTATGTTTAATTGTTGCACTGTTTTATTCTGTTGTACTGAATCAAATCAATTAATCATCTTTTCTCAGAAACAATTAACTTTATACTTTATGAAATATTTATTTTAAAACTATTTTTATGTGATATTGAGTATTATCTCATCTCACAGGTAGTCTCTAATTTTATGTCTTTCTTCAAGTAAAATAATTTTATATATAAAGATTGTGCTGAAAATTGCTTCCTTATTAACAATATAATTGATAAAATACTATCTTTCATAGGTGGTAAACCTGTTGATGGCAATTTTGCTGACTGTGGAGGTAACTCATCCAAACTCAATGCCATCTGTTAACATTCAGTATGAAGTCATTGGCAATTACTATTCATCTGAGAGGATGGCAGGTATGTTTTTAGTTGAAAAAGCCTCCTGCTAATTAGACACACACACACATACACACTTGTTATTTAGAAGTGGATTAATTAAAATATGTTTAAGTTATCTACTTGCTGAGGCACAAAAGTGTTTTGTGGGTTTTTTCAAAGATACTCAGGATTATAATTGAGTATTTCTAGCCAGAAAATGAAATGGACTACTAGGAGATTTCTCAGAAATTGGTATTGTATACTTTGATTCCTGTTTGGTGCTGTGGCGATCAAGGGGAAAGAAGGAATTGCAAAGAGACTGAGCCTTTGAGGGCCAGCGGACAAGTAGTGCAGGATAAGAGTGGGAGACCTGTTCGGGAAACAAGACTTACAGTACATATAAAACATGAGTTGTTTGAGTATTTGGTAATATCTTTTGCTTAGGGGCACAATTTCTATTCTAAATATATTTCTATTATTTAGATGAAGAAGGACTTGACATTAGAGTTAAAAATAGAGTAACACTAGGATATTCATAGAAATTACCTTTTTAAACCTATTTATTTCCTGATAGCAATATTTTCGTTATCTTCCTCTACAATTCAGGTGCAGAAAAATTTTAGTTGAAATTTTATATTATAAAGTATGTTAGAAATTTCATATTTGAACAGAAAATTATGCCTCACACTTTCCAGTGTAAATAATTTCTGTTTGTTGATTTTTTTTTTTTCAGTTTTACTTCAGAAGAATGTTCCCAGTTCACTTGTATATGTTATATTTATACTGTTACAGGATCTCTATTATTTTTAGACTTATTATTAGCTTTTATTATAAAGTTCTGTGCTTCGTTACATTTATGACCTGCTCTGATCCATTTATGACTTTTTCTTTTTTAAATTTGGTTGTTACCCTGGCCAGTTTGGCTCAGCGGTTGAGCGTCGGCCTGCGGACGAGAGAGTCCCGGGTTCAGTTCCCACTAGGGGCATGTACCACACACACACAAAAAAATTTGGTTGTTAATTCAAATGATTCATTGTCCACAGGCTAACTTTTTTCCGGGAGCCGGGTAGTGTTTGGTGGACATCCATCATACGTTGTATGGAAACACTAACAGTTGTTCACACTTTGTTTTCTGGAGTGCTTTTTTCTTTTCTTTTTTTTTTTTTTATCCTCACCCGAGGATATTTTTCCATTTTTTGTACAGATAGAGTGGGAGGGAGAGAGAGGAAGGGAGAGAGAGAGAGAAACATCGACGTGAAGGGACACATCGAGTGGCTGCCACCCGCACGACCAACCAGGGCCGGGGACAAACTGCAACCAGGTACGTGCCCTCAGCGGGAACCGAACCCGGGTCTCTCAGGACCGCAGGCTGACGCTCTAACTGCTGAGCCAAACTGGCCAGGGCTTCTTTTCTTTTTTTTAAGTGAGTCTTTTCAAAGATAGAGTATAGCCCTTTAATTTTGTTGTCAAATGTGATAGAAGAAATACCAAGAACATATTAGAAACATCCTTTCTGGCATTTGTTTTCTTTTGAGTTGTCTGTTTTTATTTAAAAGCCAAGATAGAATGATAAATACAACTTTAGCTTCTAATTGCATTTTTGGTATTTATAAAATTTATTTTAGGCTGTAAAATATTACTGAACCTACTCATGCCAACCTCTTCCCTGGTCATGTGTGTTTCTCTTAAAATGGAGGTGTAGAATAAAGATTTAGGGTTACGGAGACTCCGGTGTGTCTGTACAGCCGGCTCCGAGCCTGGGCCAGAGCGACGGGTACCGTCCCAAGTGTGCTGCATGAGTGCTGCACCTGCTGTGGAGAGTCACGTGTTCATTGTCAGTGCCTACACCCCACAAAAGCCCTTATTGTTGAAGGGTTGTTGGTTATGGTGGTTTGGGTTTCTTTGGAAGTTGAAATTTGACTTTCCCACAGAGCCAGTGTTATATGGCAAGTTGATTCCTGATCGTTGGCCTGATGATCAATTTTAAATGAGGTGATTAGGTTATAATCAATTAAATAGGATATATACTCAGTATATCTGAAGTACTTTTGCAGCATATACAAGCTGTTTTTCTTTTTCTTTTTTGTACATGCCCCTAGTGGGAACCAAACCTGGGACTCTCTGGTCCGCAGGCTGACGGTCCAGCCACTGAGCGAAAACCAAGCTGTTTTTCAAATAGGAATTTAACCTTATGTATACTGACCTTGGGAATGGGTAAACTGGGGGCCCCCTAAAGGAGGTTCCTGAGTCTCTTGGTGAGTGGATATCTGAAGTTCATATCTTGGCATCTGGCCTTCATATTTTGTTTGCTTTATTGATTCACAGATACTGGAGCATCTCTTTTTTTTTTCCCCCCCATTTTTTGTACAGATAGAGTGGGAGAGAGAGAGGATGAGAGAGAGAGAGAGAGAAACATCGATGTGAAAGGGACACATCGAGTGGCTGCCACCCGCACGACCAACCAGGGCCGGGGACAAACTGCAACGGAGTACGTGCCCTTAGCGGGAACCGAACCCGGGTCTCTCTGGACCGCTGGCTGACGCTCCAACCGCTGAGCCAAACTGGCCAGGGCTGGAGCATCTCTTGTTCCAGCCGTTACATGTTATTTCCTCCTGCCACCCAGTTTCTGCCCATTTTGCTGTTTGTTGCTCCAGTGGAAGACCTTGAACTTCACTTTTACTATTTCAGTATTTTAAGAAATGTAAATAAGTGTGTACCTTCCATAACAAATTTGTAAGAGCTGATTTTTTGAATTACGAAGTTTTCTTCAAGTTTGATAGTACCTGTCCTGTTTACTTTATGTATTTACTGAATGTTTCCCTCTAAGTGCCATTTGGTGTGAAGTTCTTTAAATCCTTAACATTTAGCTATCTAGGAAATTTTAAAGAGGGAGATTCTTACTTAGTTTAGTGCCAAATATTGATGTTTATTCTGCCAAGTGACAGGATGATACATATACATTCATCCCATAGAGTGAATATGCAGCAGTTATTCTAATCATTCATCATTATTAGTGCCCTTCAGGTTCTTAATATCGATCCAGAGTCTCAGAATCAACATTAGATTCGTGGTAAGAAACTCAATAAGTCAAGTGGGGTTTAGTATTTTTAAAAATTACTTGGATGTTTTATGAGAAAATTAGTGAACATGGATTCATATAGAGAAAGGAAACAATCTCTGAGAAAGAGTTGAGGAACAAAAAGAAGAAAACAGACAGACCTGTATGTGGGGAGAAGCCAAGGTGAAGGAATGCGGAGCAGTGGGTTTGGGTGTTGGGATGGAGAAGAGGGGATTAATGGGCAACCTTGAACTTCAGATTCTGTATTTTATCTAAGGCATGAGGGGGCATCTGTAGCATCTATGTTTAATACACGTGTCTTTTAAGCAAATACCAGCCTTTGCCTTCAGCTGAACCCTGCTCATCTCATAAGACCCAACTTGTGTTATTTCTTTTATGTATTTTTCCTGATTCTCCAGGCAGAGCTAACTGTTTCTACTTCTGTTGTAGCACCTGTTGTAGCACTTGCCACATTGGATTGTAGTTACCTGCTTGCACATCTTAGACTCTTAGACTCTGGGCAGAGATCTGCCTCCCTAGCAGGGTACCTACCTGGTTCATGTGCCATCCTTAATAAGTGTCAGTGAGGTGTAGCAGTTTAACAAACAAGGAAACAAAGGTACGAATTTCTTAAGTTTCATTACTTAATGCTGAGGCAGATTTTTTTTTTTACCCTCTTGGCCTTAGATTTTTTTCATAGCCAATCTTGAAAATACTTTGATGTTTGTAAGCCAGCTTTAAAATGTTTGTCATGAAGAATTTTGTTCTTTTTATATAAGTAGCTTAATTAGATTTTGGTTTTTGTTTTCTTAGACAATGCCTGTGTTCTTTTTGCCGTCTCTGTTCTTATGTTTATAATCAGTTCAATGCTGGTGTATGGAGCAATTTCTGTAAGTATCCTATGTTTTCATCTTTTGGAGTTTGATCTTTACTGAACAGTACTTGGTAATTTCATTTATGTGATGTGATATGGTTATTGTTTTTTTTTTTCAGTATCAAGTGGGTTGGCTCATTCCATTCTTCTGTTACCGGCTTTTTGACTTCGTCCTCAGTTGCCTGGTTGCTATCAGTTCTCTCACTTATTTGCCAAGAATCAAAGAGTATCTGGATCAATTAGTAAGTCTGTATGCTAATTAAACTTGTTTTTTCCACTTTAAGTAAAATATTTAAATTGAAATTCTGAGTCATCTTTTTAGGTACTATTTTTATTTTTTTATTTTTTTTTTATCCTCACCCGAGGATATTTTTCCATTTTTTGTACAGATAGAGTGGGAGGGAGAGAGAGAGAGAAACATCGACGTGAAGGGACACATCGAGTGGCTGCCACCTGCACAACCAATCAGGGCCGGGGACAAACTGCAACCGAAGTACGTGCCCTTAGCGGGAACCGAACCCGGGTCTCTCTGGACCGCAGGCCGACGCTCTAACTGCTGAGCCAAACTGGCCAGGGCAGTACTATTTTTATTTTAACCAACCCTATTTATTTTTTTAAAGTGTTATAAAATAATGTCATTACTCTTAACTACCATGTTGAAACCAGTAAGATGAAAACAGAATATCTTCTTACTATACCATTTGGTTGATCCAATATTAGAAGTCCCTAAAAATGGTTATTATGGAATTTAAGTAGTTAACTTTTGTTTTGAGTAAACTGTAAGTATAATAATTTGACTGTATTTGGCACTTATTAAGGTCTTAGCTTCTTGTTTTGGCAGGCATTCGGAGCAAACATTTCAGTGCCTGCTGTGTGCTTGGTTCTGTTCTGGTGAATTGTGTAGATATGAAGAACCCCCCCCCCCCCATGAAAAAGATAACGTCCTCTTCAGGGAGCAAACCATTTGGGGAGTCGAGGCATGAGGATGTTATCTGGGCTAATGAACTAGAGCTGTCATAGGAAGCAATCAATGGGGACCTGAGATTAAGTGCCGTATGACGAAGGGGCAGGGACTACTCTGGGCCAAAAGAAGGTCTTTAAGAAGGTGTGGGGCCCAGGTAAATGAAAGCTCATTTAAAAACCCTACCTTTAAGAATTTTCTCCCCGCTTTCAGATTTCCTGCCTAATCCATTGGCATATCACCAAATTTATTGTTCATTCGAAAAAACATTTGTTGGTTGCTTTTTTTTTTTTTTTTTTAAGTATGTTTTTATTGAAACATTGATTGGCTGCCTCCTGCATAACCCCCACTGGGGATCCATCCTGCAACCCGGGTTTGTGCCCTGACTGGGAATTGAACCGGGACCTTTCAGTCCATGAATGACGCTCAGTCCACTGAGCCACACCAGCGGGGCGGTAGCTGCTTTTGTGCAGGGCACTCTGCTAGATCCTGGGGATATATCAGGAGAACTTACTTTCTAGTGAAGGAATTGGAAAATTGACAGTTACCGAATTAAAATCGTGATAAAAGCTGTGAGGGAAAAGTGTAGGCTGCTATGTGAGCGGATCTCACACCGCTGTATCAGACCTGGGCTGGGAAGTGAGATTTTATTCCAAGTAGGAATGAAGATAGGGAAAGCACAAAAGGAGGGTTCCCGGTGAAAGACACACCTTGCAGCAGGAAGCAGCATGGTATATAGCCAGGGGGCTAAAGATGACTGTGGTGCTGGCACACAGGAGTAATGGAAGGGGAGCAGCGTGTGGTGGGGCTGGAGTGGAGTGGCCAGGCGCAGGGCCTGTTGGCCTGGCCAGCAGCTTTCTAAACACAGTTCTCTGAGCATCTCTGGCTGAAAAATTGCAAGCCTTCAGAATAAAATCATAGCATTCCCCAAATGAGCTGGTTCCATTATGTGTTTGTCCTACCTATTTATAGATGAAATCTTAATGAATAGTTTTGTCCCAAGGGACCACTTAGTTTGGGGTTGGTCTGTAGACCTTTCTTTTCTTTTTTTTGGTGTTTTGGGATTTCTTTGTGCTGCTTTTTTATGAAACTGAGATTATTTGGGTTGACATTTCCATTAAAAACATACAAGTTTAGCCCAGCCTGTGTGGCTCAGTGGACTGAGCATCATCTTGTGGAGTGAGAGGTCCCGGTTTCGATTTCCAGTCAGGGCCCATGCCCAGGTTGTGGGCTCGATCCCCAGTAGGGGGCGTGTAGGAGGCAGCCAATAGATATTTCTCTCTCACATCTATGTTTCTGTCTCCCTTCCTCTCTCTAAAAATTCAATAAAAATATATTTTTAAAAAACCATATAAGTTTAAAAGAATTAAATGAGCTATATAGAAAACCATGACAATGAAATCTTTACTATTCCCTTTACAGACCTCACTGATTTCTGCCTGTTGTTGTTGTTGTTGTTAACTTCATCTCTCAGCCTGGATTATTGTTGGCCAGCTTGTAAATCCTGACTCTTCTTTGGTAGTGCTCTTCTCCTTGAACCTGGCTCATTACCTTGCACATAGTAAATGCTAAATAAATATTTGGATAAATATAGCTGCTCCTTCTCGGTAGAACATAGTATGTCTGCAGTAAATCATATAATCTTGCCTGGCTTTATAACCAGGGATCTACCTTCTTTCTGCCCCTTTTTAGTGAACATTGAGACTGACGATTGGCTTTTAGGTCAGTTATTTTCCCCAGGTAGAACTAAATGGCCCGAGGATATTTTTTCTATTGATTTTTAGAGAGAGTGGAAAGGAGGTGGGGAGAGGGAGACAGAGACAGAGAGACAGGCAGACAGACATTGATTGGTTGCCTCCCATATGTGCCCCAACTGGGGATCGAACCTGTCACCCAGGTACGCACTCTTGGCTTAGAGTTGAACCCCAGACCCTTCGGTGCCCAGGCCTATGCTCCAGCCACTGAACCACATTGGGCAGGGCAATATCAGCGCTTCTTGACTTAGTGACTCAGTGACCCAGGGACAAATTTGGAGTTCTATACAGGAAATAGTGTTTTTCCAAAGGCCAGAAAGCTGTTAAAAATAATGAAAAGAAAGAAAGTGAGCTCAATTTAGACTCTTAGGAATATTCTGAGTATTCAAACAAATGCATTTTAAGTTACCAATAATGTGCATTAATAATGAGGCTTTGAAGTACTTTGAATTAAATTCTGTTATCAGTTTTATAGGATAGCCCTTCTGACTTTGGCCCCTTCTGTTTGTATTAGTGCCGTGCTCTCTGGGTTATCGCAGTGCGAGTGCTGTGGTTGAATTACAAGTGTGTGTTCAATAAACTTACTTTTTTTAGAGCAGTTTTGGGTTCACAACAACATTGAACAGAAAATATAGAGAGGTCCCATATATCCCCAACCCACACCCCCCACAACGTCTTGCACTACCCATATCCCACACCACAGTGGTTCAGTTGTTACAGTTGTGAACCTTCACTGACACATCATCATCACCTAAGATCCATGGTTACATTACCGTTCATTTTGGTGTACATTCCATAGATTTGGGCATGTGTGTGATGAGAGGTATTCATCATAGTTTTGAACAGAATAGTTTCACTGCCCTAGAAATCCTCTCTGCTCTGCCTCTTCATCCCTCCCTTCTTTTTTATAGCCTGATTTTCCCTATAAAGATGACCTCCTGGCATTGGACTCCAGCTGCCTCCTGTTCATTGTTCTTGTGTTCTTCGTCTTTTTCATCATCTTTAAGGTGAGTTGGTGACTAATATTTGGGGGGACCAGTTACTGTCCATCTTAACCTCCTTGTTGCCTTACTCCCTGCAGTTCACAGTAAGTGACAGTGTTGATTTTGACACAGAAGTACAGAGACTTTTTAGGGAATGTCCTTGTTTCCAGAGAGTGGCTGGAAGTTCCAGGATCCTTATTAAGTAAGGATTACCATGTTTCTAGAAATAGTTCATGATTTGGATTGAAAATTGTTAAAATTCCCAAGGTTCAGAAACAGAATTTCTTCTGCAGCACAATGGTTATCAGACCTGATACCCCAACTTCGGTTTTTCTGTAAAATGATGATCATAAAACTAGTGATGTTTAAGTGAGATCAGGTAGAGGTAGGGCCTGGCCTGTGCTGGGTCCAAGTGGATGTCAGTTTTCTTCTCCATAGAGAAATGTGGGGGAAGGGTTGTAAGTCCCCTTAATTTTAGAACAGGTATTCTGTTGAGTTCTAGAATATGTAAATTTTATTTGTATTCATTTAGGCTTATCTAATCAACTGTGTTTGGAACTGCTATAAATACATCAACAACAGAAACACACCAGAGATTGCTGTGTACCCTGCCTTTGAAGCACCGCCACAGGTGAAGGACCTACGTATATGTTAACATTTTACTAGTCATTGATTATTCTCAAGAACCTGGATCTTGACTATCTCTTCAATGCCCTAACTGTGGTTTAGGGCATGAATAGGTTAAGTCCACAAAACTGAGCATTTCCCACTTGGAATCCTGGGTATGTGGGTGAGAGACAGCCTGCACTGCTGATCTCAGTCAGTTTGGCTGTTAGGTTTGATTCCTAAGTGGTTCCCACAGTATTGCATTTTGGGGGGAGATTAGGCAGGAAACAGCGTGTGACCCATGCCATGCTTGTGGCTTGTGGCACTTTTGAGGATGGAGGTACCATCAGTTGTGTTGCTTTAAAAAACATGCATATGATCCGAAGAAGCTGCTTTTTTGTGGGGAGATGAATGAATGGGCTCCAGGAGTCTTTTGGGGATGCTCACTGCTTGGGACCCTCTAGTTGCTACCCGACTCTTTGCAGGTTTTCAACATGTAGAATACATGTGGCCCATGTAGGGCCAGCCTGGCACACTTGGAGTCACTTAGGTTAGAATGCTACTGTAAGTCCCTAATCCTTGACTGTAGATGATGATGAAATTAGGATCCAGCATCTTATTGGAAGCTTCTTTTAGTATGGTTCACTGGGGCCCTGAATCTTGACCTGCAGCCACCTGAGGGACAGTTGGCACTGGGACTTTATCAGTCACGGGAAGGACAGGGTGGGGAGGGGAGCAGGGGCACATGCTTCCTGTCCAGGTGTTTTGGTAGCCCGTCAGGGTCAGTTCAGAAGCAAAACTCTGCCCTTCCTTCCCTCCCTCCCTCCCTCCCTCACTTCATCCCTCTCCAGCAGTCTTGGGTCAGATGTCTCCCCTGCATGTAGAGTTCCGGTTACAGTCATCTCCTCTCGGGGACTCTAGCTGACAGTTTCTTCAGCTCTTCTCTGTGGGTGTGTGTGTCCCTTTTTAGGGCAGAAAATCTGAAAGCTGAATTATTCCAGGTAGAATTTTAAAGAATTAAGTCTGATACAGTTTTTTCTCTCTTCAGTATGTTTTGCCAACCTATGAAATGGCCGTGAAGATGCCTGAAAAAGAGCCACCACCGCCTTACATACCTGCCTGAAGACATTCTGCCTTTGTCAGTAACCCTGACACCACCAGCTTTTGTCTCGTTTGTTTTACAGAATGCTGCAATACAGGGCTCTTCAGACTTGTTGATATAAACTACCTTTTCCTTTGTTTAAACATTTATTTTCGAACACTAACAAGCTTTTGAACATCTATTATAAGTCAGCTTTTTTGTTTGTTTGTTAAATCTATTACATTTTAGTAGTCTTTGAAGACAATCTAGGTGAAGCAAGAGCAAAGTGCCATTGTTTGCCTTTTACTGGGGGGTGGGAAGGGCTATTCTCTACACATTTTCTTTTTTAACTTTGCACTTTCTTTATATAATAGTTTGCATTTTGGTTATGTGCTGCCCTGGATACTTTCAGGAGGAATGACTAAAATATTCAGGGTGAGTGAGTTAGCTCTAAGATCTGAAGTTTTCAGCTATGAAAACAGGACAAATATATAACATTTTAACGTGACTGGAAGATGATGGTTGCATGTTTCTGATTTGTATGTGTTTCCATTTTGTGATAAGATGCTTTAATAAATTTCTTCAAGTTTACTGTCGTCATTTGTAAGAAATCTATTACCCTTTTTTTGTAGATAAAGCCTAACATTTTCCATTATAATAAACTCCGACTGCCATGGTTTTTGATACTTTGAGATTATAGTGCTAGATTTTTTATTAGAATGCATTTATTTAATCCAGTGACTCTGAAATATTATTTAAAGTTATGGGGAATATATCACTTGAATCATGGGCCAGAAATTAATATTAATGGTTTGATAGAAAAATTATGCGGGTAGCATAGTAAGCTCTGCTTTCATATTGAGATCATTTACTTGGGTCACGAATTCATCAAGAACAGTTCATGTTAACATGCATCATTTGACCTCCAGGGGAATCCAAGAGAAAGCAGAAGCAAACTGCACGTATGGACCCCACAATTAAAATTTCCTCCAGGAAATATTCCACTTTACATCTTGTTAAGAATACAGCAGTGATGACATGCTCATCTAGCATGTAGAAGATATATTTTACATTTTTAAAAATTGAATTTGTTGGGGTGACTGGTCTGCAAAACCATACAGATTTCAAGTGTACAACTCAATAAAACATCATCTATACACTGCATTGTGCACCCAACATCCCAAGCGAAGTCTCATTCCATCCCTGTTTCCCCCATTTGCCCACTTCCGCCTTCCCTACTCCCCTTTCCCTCTGGACAGCACCACACTGTTGTCTTTGTGAGATTATATATATATGCATATATACATACATATACACACATACATATACACATATATATGGGCTAATCCCTTCACCTGTTTCATCTAGTCCCCCTCTCCCTGCTCTAATAGCCCTCAGTCTGTTCCATGTATCCATGCCTCTGGTTGTTTTGTTCATCAGTTTATCTTATTCATTAGATTCTACATATAAGTGAGATCACATGGTATTTGTCTTTCTCTGACTGGCTTATTTCACAGCATAATGCTAAGTCCATCCATGCTATCGCAAAAGGTGAGAGTTCCTTTTTTTTATGGCTTTGTAGTATTTCGTCGTGTAAGTGTTCCACAGCTTTTTATCCACTTACCTACTGATGGGCACTTGGGCTGCTTCCAGATCTGATCTTGGCTATTGTAAATAATGCTGCTGTGAACATAGGTCAATATATTCTTTCAAATCAGTGTTTCTGAATTTTTAGGATATATTCCCAGAAGTGGGATCACTGGGTCAAAGGCAGTTTTATTTTTAGTTTTTTGAGGAAATTCCATACCGTTTTCCACAATGGCTGCACCAATCTGCATTCCCACCAACATTGCACAAGGGTTCCCTTTTCTCCACAACCTCACTAGCACTTCTTGGTTGATTTATTGGTGATAGCCATTCTGGCAGGTGTGAGATGATAGCTCATTGTAGTTTTAATTTGTACGTCTCTGATAATTAGTGATGTTGAACATTTTTCATATGTCTATTGGTTATCTGTATGTCCTCTTTGGAGATGTGTCTATTCAGGTCCTTTGTCCATTTTTTAATTGGATTGTTTGTCTTTTCTGGTGTTGAGTTGTATGAGCTCTTTATATATTTTGTAAATTAACCCCTTATCGAATGTCTCATTGGCAAATATGTTCTCCCATACAATGGGTTCCCTTTTTATTTTGTTGATGGTTTCTTTTACTGTGCAAAAGCTTTTTACTTTGATACTGTTGCATTGGTTTATTCTTTCTTTTGTTTCCCTTGCCCTAGGAGATACAGCAGCAAAAACATTGTTCTGAGAGACGTCTGAGATTTTACTGCCTATGTTTTCTTCTAGGGTTTTTATGGTTTCATGACTTACATTTAAGTCTTTTAATCCATTTTGAGTTTATTCTTGTGTATAGTGTAAGTTGGGTCTAGTTTTACTATTTTGCATGTACATGTTCAATTTTCCCAGCACCGTTTATTGAAGAAACTCTCTCTAATCCACTGTATGCCCTTGCTTCCTTTGTTAAATATTAATTGACCATAAAGATATGGGTTTATTTCTGGGCTCTCTGTTCTGTCTCATTGATCTATATTCCTGTTCTTATGCCAGTGCCAGGCTATTCTGATTACAGTGGCCTTGTAGTATAGTTTGCTATCCGGTATTGTGATACCACCAACTTGTTCTTCTTTCTTAAGATTGCTGAGGCTGTTTGGGGTCTTTTTTTGGTTCCATATACATTTTTGGAATATTTGTTCTAGGTCTGTGAAATATGCCATCGGTGTTTTAATAGGGATTGCATTGAATTTATACATTGCTTTGGGTAATGTGGATATTTTAATGATCTTAAGTCTTCCAATCCATGAACTTGGTATATGTTTCTACTTATTTGTTTCTTCCTCCTATAATTTTCTTCGAGTACAGATCTTTTATCTCCTTGGTTAGATTTATTCCTAGATACCTTATTTTGTTGTTGTTGTTGTTGTTGCAATAGTAAAGGGGATTATTTTCTTAAATTCTCTTTCTGAGCCCTGGCCAGTTTGGCTCAGTGGTTAGAGTGTCGGCCTGCAGTCCGGAGAGACCCGGGTTCGGTTCCCGCTAAGGGCACGTACTTCGGTTGCGGTTTGTCCCCGGCCCTGGTTGGTCGTGCGGGTGGCAGCCACTCGATGTGTCCCTTCACGTCGATGTTTCTCTCTCTCTCTCCCTTCCGCTCTCTCCCTCCCACTCTATCTGTACAAAAAATGGAAAAATATCCTTGGGTGAGGATAAAAAAAAAAAAAAATTCTCTTTCTGAGAGTTCATTATTGGTGTATAAAAATGCCACTGATTTCTGAATATTAATTTCATATCCTCCTACTTTGTTGAATTCATTTATTGGATCTAGTTTTTTGGTGGAATTTATAGGGTTTTCTATGTACAAAATCATGTCATCTGCAAATAATGACAGTTATACTTCCTCCTTTCCAATTTGGATGCCTTTTATTTCTTGTCTGATTGCTGTGTCTAGGACTTCCAATACTATATTGAATAAGAGTGGTAAAAGCGAACATCCCTGTCTTATTTCTGATCGTAAGGGAAATGCTTTTAGTTGTTGGCCATTAAATATGATGTTGGCTGTGGGTTTGTCACATATATGGCCTTTAGTATGTATGATCCCTCTATTCCTACTTTGCTGAGAATTTTTATCATAAATGAGTGCTGTATTTTATCAAATGCTTTTTCTATTGATATAATTATGTGGTTTTTATCCTTCATTGTGTTTATGTGATGTATCATTATATAGTATCCATTTTTTTTTTCAATTTAAAGCACTCGCTGTTTATTAACTGGCCAGATTATAAAAATAACCATGGTAGAAACCTTAATTCATTCTCCTAATAAGCCTGTTGATCTGGTCTTCCCTGTTACCAGCATCTCCACCTTCTACAAAATGGGTGGTCTTTTTCTTCATTCCACCTCGTGGAGAAGATAATTTGAAGGGCCACAGGAAGTTGTTAGCTTCTTTGAAGTATTTTCCAACAGTATAAATCTCATGAATCAGATCCTCCATGCAGATGATGCCATATTTACCAAGAGAGCGAGCAATCAATGTGTTATCTGTCAGGGCAATTAGTTTTTTGTTGATTTTGCCATAACCACGCTTGTAGATCAATTCATTTACTGACTTCAGATTTGGGTGCCCCCATGCAATATACAGTTCCACAATCCTCAGCATGTTAATCGAAGCCTTGTTGAGCTTAACAAAGGTGCCGTTGAAGATCTGGCGAAGGCGAAGAAGCTGCAGCACCTTTCGGACCTTTGGGCTCACACCATTGATACCTCTGATCCTGATGACAAATGCCAATTTGGGTTCTGCGGGTACATAGAAGTTGCCATCTTTTCTTGCCATCCTAGCCATTCGAATCTCAGTTCTGTGCATCTGTCTGGATTCCTTGTGATAGTGCTTAGCTTTTTCATAGATGAGCTTCCTCCTTGCCTTTTGAAGCATCTTTTCGGCAAACTTCTTTCTCAGGCGCTTGACCTTCAGCTCTGCGAAATTCCTTCGCTTTTTCTTAAGGGTTTCTGGCACAGCAGGGACCTCCTCCTTCTCTTCGGCACCCTCCAGGGTTCCAGCTGGAAAAGAGCTAGTATCCATTTTTAAAATTGATCTTAGAGGAAGGAAAGGAGAAAGAGAGAGAGAAAAACATTGAAGTAAGAGAGAAACTTCAGTTGGTTGCCCCTCACTCAGGCCCTGACCAGGGATCAAACCTGCAACCTGGGCATATGCCCTGTTTGTAACTCAAACCCGCCACCTTTTGGTGTACAGGATGACATTGCAATCAACTGAGCCACACGGCCAGGGCTGTAGTGTCCTTCTTTGTCTCTTACTATAGCCTTGGTTTTCAAATCTGTTTTGTTAGATAAAGGAATTTCTACCCCAGCATTTTGAAGTATTTCTATTTGTATGAAATCCCTGTACTTTGGGTGGTAGTGTTATGGATGATCTTTATTTTCTTATTTTTACTTCTCTGCATTTTCTAAATTCTGAACAGTAAGTTATATAACTTTCATAGTAAGCAAAAAATCTATTGTAAAATTTTAAAAGCTGATCAGAAATAAAGCCTGTGGATTTCCAGACTGGAGTGTGGGAGGCAGGACAGGGAGCTGAGCCGCAAAGGAACTAGACACTTGTGCAGAATCTGGATCAAGTGCCAACTTGGCAGGAATAGGCTGAAATTGGGGGCACCCGCCAAAAGGGCAGGTGTCTGAACTCTCAGAAGAGGCCTTTTGGCCCTAGCTGGTTTTGCTCAGTGGTTAGAGTGTTGGCCTGTGGACCAAAGAGTTGTGGGTTCGATTCTGGTCAAGGGCACGAGCCTCAGTTGCAGTTCAGTCCCCAGCCCTGGTTGGGTTGTACGGGAGGCAACCAGTCAATGTGTCTCTCTCATCTCCCCCCCCCCCCCTTCCACTGTATCTGAAGATAATGGGGAAGTATCCTTGGGTGAAGATTAAAAAAAAAAAAGAAGAAGAGGACTTTTGATTTGGCGATTGAGTCATTTTCTTGGTGACTGCTCTTCAGAAGTGTGGAGAAGAGAAAGGGGAGAAAGGAGCACCCCTGGTCCCAGAT